TAAGCAAAATAATTCCAGATGTTGACAGAATTGGGTAAGACACTCCCAGTTGCTGACAGAATTAAATAAAATGCTTTTCGAATATAACAAAAATAAACTAATTGACCCAGACGCTGAGATATGCTAAAAAATAACGCTTGAGGTTGATAGATATAAACGAAATGTTATTAGAAGTTGTCAGAATTAAGTAAAATGCTTTCACAAGCAGTCAAAATTTAAAAAAAATCATTGATGCTTACAGAATTATGAAATATACTTCTACAAGATGACAGAATTAAACAAGATATTATAAGAGGTTACCAGAATTAAGCAAGTTACTTCCAGAGACTGCCAGAATTTAAAAAACCATTTCCATAACATTCATAACCTGGCAGAATCAAGAGAATATTTCCACAAACTGACAGTATTAAGTAAAATAGTGTCAGAAGTTGATAAAATTCGGCAAAATACTTCCAGAGTTCGGAAAAATTACGCAAAACTTACAGGATTAAGTGGAATTTTCTCAAAAGTAGATAGAGTCAAGCAAAATACTTGCAAAAGTTGACAGAATTGGGTGAAGCACTTCCAGAAGCTGTCAGAATTAAGCAAAATGCTTCCAGAGATTTCCTGAACTTAAGGAAGTATTTCATTATATTCATTACTTTATTCTATGCAATAAAAATTTTACACGACAGTCAATTACGTAGTATCTAAGGAACATTATGTAACCGTAATTTTAAGCAGAAATAATAATATGTGAAGAAGCAGCAACAAAATACTTCCAGTTGCTGACAGAATTAAATAAAATGTTTTTCGAATATAACAAAAATAAATAAATTGACCCAGAAGCTGAGTTATGCTAAATATGTTCAAAAGCTAAAAAAATAAAGCCAACAATTTCAGTATGGTGACAAAATACAACAAAATACGTCCAGAGGTTTTGAACGCGTGAAGACAAATCCATGATATTTGCGGAGCATAAAGGTTTACTGTAGACGAGTTTATTCATCGAGTTTCGAGTTGTTCTGTCGCGGCATTGTTGACTGAGCCGCTCTTCCAAGTGGAACATTCCGTCGCTATGGAGACCGAAGTGGATGGAAAATACCGGTCTTTTTAGTGTGGTGTGAGGAACCACATTGTTATCGTACTCTGTGCGCAATGGATGGGCGATCGCGTTACTTAAGCGAGTTTGAGCGAGGAATGTTTGAGGGTATGCACATTGAGGGTGTATCGTTCTGTGAAATTGCGCGTCGTCTCGACCGGTCGTGTGAGTCTTCCTCAAGGGAACTTGGAGCTATTTGGCCACCGGCAGGGGAAGGCGCACTCACTACGCGAACTATACGGCGGCGTTTGGTAAATAGTGGACTGCGCGTGCGTCGTGCGAAACAGCGGATTCCAGTAACATCCGAGCACCGCAGCATACGTCACGAACGGGTCAACGCTAGGCATTAGTGGGTTGCCGAGTAGAGGAACATTTTGTTTTCCGACGAATCAAGATTCGAATTGAGCATTGGTGATGCGCGAATTTTAGTTCGTCGGAGACGTGGTGATCGTCTACTCGAGCAGTGCGTGCAAGAATGCCCTATCCGCCGACAACCGAGTATTATGGTTTGGGGTGCTATTACACATGGTGGACGTATACGTCTGCTGCGTGTATAGCAGACCATGACGGGTCAACGATACGTAGATGAGGTGCTACGGTCCGTTGTGCTTCCCTACGTTCGGCGGCTCCCAGGTCTGCTATACATGCACGACAACGTACGACAGCACATTGGGCGTGTTGTACAGACCTTTGTGGAAGTGCACCGTATACGAATGCTTCCATGGCTAGCTCGGTTTCCGCATCTGAATCCGATCAAACATGTTTGGGAAATGACTGGTCGCAGACTTCTACGTTATCCGGCTTCCTCGGCTAACGTTGAGGAGCTATGGAGGCGAGTTGAGGTGGCATGGTTGGCCATCTCTCTTGCTACAATACAGCGACTTATTGACTCCATGCCACGTCGTGTGCCGATGGTACGCGAAGCTCACAGGGGATACTCTCACTATTGATGTTTCTCCTCCCAGCAGAGTTGTGCCGCTCTCCATGTAAGAGTAAGTTACACTACTTTAGTACTATTTCCATACCAAACTTTATTGCGCTAGACACACGCGTTCAGATTATACAGGGTGTGCTCGTGAATTATTTCCAACAGTGTACTTTCAATAAAATTTAGTTTAATTCATAATTATACGTGTTTAGTTTTCTTAAATATTTCCGATTGCTCCGAAATAATAAAGCGAATCGATCAATTTAAAAAAAATAAATACTAACATGTAGTACCTTAAAAGACCTTTAAAATGAGGTATCCCTTTCCATTTAAGATTTTTAAGGGGTTGGTTTCTGGCGGCGGGGGGTTGAAGTGAGTGAGTCAATTTTTGCATAAATTGGTTTTATTCTTTACCTATTTCAGCGATTTTCTTTTTAAACTTCCAGATTTACAGAAATTGAGGTGGAAAGTTTTGAAATGAACACCCTGTATATGTAAAGACATGTATAACGATACGAATTAATCCTAATAATAATAAAACATTTAATTTATAAATGAAAGGTAGTAAATCCTGTTTACCGGTTCATTAATTATTGGATTACTTGCTGTTATTCAAAATAGAACGTCCAGTTGCAAAACTGATTCGATTGCAAAACGGAGAGATCGACGAGTTCCGAAGGGTATCACAGCTGTTGGTGCTGTTGCTGCTTAAAGTATTTCCAGTTTCCGTTCTGTTCGAGTAACGACTTCTAAAAGCGTAAAAATCGGAAAACCTTGAGGAACAATTTCGTTGCCCAATCCGCAATTACGTTTTTAATTCGACCTCTCCTTCTTATAATATCGAAATCATTCTCATTTAATAACATCGTCGCTCAATCAAACCAAAAAAAAATAAATAAATAAAATCACCTTTTCATCCAGTCACAACACAATACTATTTCGAAATGTAACCGAAAAACATTCATCTGCTGCGCGTACTTTTCGCTTTTTATTACTTACTTAATGCGTTTTTAATTGGTTTCAATTCGCGTTTAATGTAAGAAACGTTAAGTATTAAAATTATAACCTTCTTCAATAATAATTATGATTCTTATTGTTGTTTTGTGAGAATGTTATTTGTGTATTTTATGATGTTATGTTATTGTAATGTAGAGGTAATAAAAAAACATGTAAATTTTGATATTTAATTAATGCAGAACGAGATTGTGTCTGTGATTAAGATTACTTTTTTCTTCGATTCATTTGGCATAAATTTAAAAGTTTATAATCACGTAAACCCATTAACAAGACATTTGTAAAACATGGCCATACAACAACAAAATCTGTAAACTTTAGAACAATTTGTATATTAAATTTACTATGGTCTGATGACCTAATTAAGATATCTTAATAGAATTTAATGCGACTGGTTTTGTTACTAGCAACATTTGAAAGAAAAAACATCACATATTTGGAGGGATGGTGAGTTGTGTGAAGAAAATGAAAACGATAAGAGAATTACTATATAGGTGATGATCAGAAAAAGGCTGTCCTCAATAAGAAATTCCTCAATAACATTAATTATAAAAGAATATAAAACTTAATAAGAAATCCTGGAAAATATTTAAAATTCTTTCTGTTTTCTTTCAAGTGAATACAATTGTTTGGTTGGGTTTAAAAATTCTTCACAAAACGAGTCTATCCATAAAATCTTAAAAAGCGCGGAAATTAAAATTAGCAATAGAAAGTTTAAGATAGATTAATAGGAAAGGATTTCAGTGAAGAATTTCAATCCTTTCAACTTAAACAACGAAGACTCTTATTTAGTAATGACCATACGAATTGAAATACCTTCTTTTCGCAATTCATTCCACTTAGCCATACCATTTTTAGATCTTTAAATGTGTGTTATTTCATGAATTTGTGATTTTATGAATTTCTTAATATGCCGTCTTGTTTATAAAATAAAATTTATGAAATAGTTATTATTTACTTACCTATTTTCTTATAAGCAGCAAAAGTAAACAAAGAATAACCACTTGGTGAATCTCTCAAATCTCAGCAAACACAATTTTTATAAGTAAAAATCTTTATGCTTCTTTTTGTAGTAAAAGAATACCGAACACACCGCAGGAAATTTGTAGTTGCGAACGCCACGGAATTACCTGCGAGTTACAGGGTCGGTTGAACTGGGTTCACTCAATTTATCACGAAATGATAGGAAGAAGTACTTCAGCAACATGGTGGGGATATGCGGAAAATTAACAATTTCGCAGGGGACACTGTTATAAGGAGAGACGTTTTTATATGAAGGAAAGAGAAATTATATTATTACAGTGTTGAAAGAGCGAGATGGAACAATTCGACATAAATTCTGTGGGTCCCCCCACTTGATAATGACCGCTTCTTCGTGGGGATACTCCATACTCTGAACGAAAGTTTGGATGAACTAACAGTGCAAATTCGAAGCATGCGATCTTCCGCAAAACATGCGATAAGTATTTAATGGGGATTCCTACTGTTATTATTTTTCATCCTGGGGAAAACACGGTTGTGGTGTGCGTATTCAGAAGGCGATTTCTTGGAATTCGCTACTGTTGTGGTGATAGTAGAGTGTTTATTTCATCAGCTCATTACTCATTTCAGTTTCCGATAACTGGATAATTGAGTTCTAGAAATGTAGGTGTTCTTTTCGTGTCTTTGAAAGTGATTCAGAATATGTATAAAAAAATATAAAATGATCTTATTGAAAACTAGTTAGGTTACTAATTTTATAAAATGTTAGAATAAATTAAATTAGTCTCGACCATCTTTTCTAGCAGACCTAAACTGATCTAATACCACCGCTATCGTGTGATGTCTTTTACAGCTTTTCTACGCTCCCTGAATCCAAATGGATTCTTCGGGAGTAAAATTCTTTCAGTAATGCGGTTTTCCACGAGTCTGGGAAGGAGTTCCATTTTGTCCTTCGATAAAGCAATACTTATTTATTGCATTAATTTTTTATTATCATATATGCCACCTAACAATGACTCAATTTACTTGGCATGCATCTAATAAAAATGCAAACCACATCCGTTAGATTTTCCAAGTTTTTCTGATTTAAAGCATTTATCTCATAATAAATGACTTCTTCACTTCTTGTTTTTTCATAGGTGTGGAAAGTGGAATCTTAAGTAACTTCGGAGAATTTTAAATTGTTTATAATGGTAATTGAAAAAAAAAAAAACAGATTGGTGATGTGGTTTCTTTTATAAACGGTGTTTTTGAATTTATGTAGTGTTTTTTATTAATCGCAATTAGTTTGTGCTTTTTATTAAATATCTCAAAAACTAAAAGATATTTTGAAATTCCGTTTCATCCATTGGAAAGCTAATACAGGGTGTTCCGGTGACTCGGGGCATAAAATTAACGCAAAAATGATGACGATTCGTGAAAAAAAATTATTATAAAAGTCTTCAAATAGTCAAGATATATATATAAATAATAATATTTTCAATACCATTTATGGTAGAGCGTTGAAATTTGCTACAGGGTAAACAAATATCAAGCANTCATTGGAAAACATAATTTGTATTACAAATGTTGAGAATTGTAAATGTTTATTATGTTCTAATGTTTTTAATCTTGTGTTATGCACATAATTGAAATAATGCATAACAAACAAATTAAAAATCTGTTTTTTTACAAACAAGAATCAATTAGTTTCTAAGAAAAAAAAGACTTTCATGACGAACATACCCAATTGTTAACGAAACCAGACAAACAAATTGGCTACCTTGACAGCAAATTTACCGATGAAAGAGCCTCCCGTTTTGACCTTTACATATGTAAAATAAATTCTTGACATATTCACGAACAATAATACCATCGTTAAGATTTGGGCAATTGTACTTCCTCCTACGAATTGCCCCAGAATGACCTTGAATTTTAAAAGAGTTAAGTAAAAAATAAATTTGTAATTTAATCGGATTTTCCATTTTACATTATCAACACAATTTTGACCCCAAAAATTTTTATCAAACTATTTTAAACGATTCTGCGGTTTTTTTAATAATAACTTACAATTTTTGTTAAAAACAAACAATAAAAATAGAAACGTTGACGTAATAAATAAATAATTTATGCGTTCATTGTAAGTTTTGTTCATTAAATTAATCGATACAGTTAGCGTAATCGGAAGGCTTTCGCGCCTCTATATGACGTAATTCCCACAGTTTATTGCGACATAATATTTTCAGGACAAAAAGGTGTAATTATTAATGGCTGTACGCCCCGCCGGCCTTCTTTTGAAAGGGGGGTCATAAATTAACGTTGATGTTAAGTCGGCTTATTGAATTAGAGAAAAATTGATGTGAATTAATTCGAATTGATAATTAGATTAAATAGGAAATTTCCTATTAGAAAGGGAAATTAAAATGAATTGCGTTAATATTTTTAATTGTATGATATTGTTAACGATTACACAAATTTATTATTGTTATAGATAAAAAAGAAAAACGTTAACAAGATTTTTTTTCTTAATTACCTTGCAAATTCATAATTAGACTTAATGGTAAATGTAATTGTCTTGGCTGTAATTGGATGGTAAAATGCAAAAAGGTATAAAATACGTTCGTATAAACTGTTAAGATTTAATCTTTGTATGTATTTATGTTATTTTGTATTTCCTGCATTTCCAATGACAGCGAAGTGCGACAGAAAGGAAATTCATCACATATTTGAAACCAATACCGTTCACCGTCGTTGTTAATTTATAGCGACCGTTGAACTGTATTAAGAATAATTAGAAGTACTTTATATCACAATTTATAACAATGGAAATAATTAGGACTAAATATTTAAAGAATTATTAGTAAATGAAAAACTTCGTCATAGTCATCGACATTTGAATATTAATTAAATTAATACCTACTTGTTGAACAACGTTTAGTAATTGTTTATAGTTTGCTGCTGCATTTCCTTCAAATAATTTAGTAATTAAAAAAGGGATTTATTGTTCTGCCATTTAATTGTATTTTTTGTATTTTTATCACGTTTTCATTATTTATTTATTAGTCTTTTTTTAAATTGTATTTTAATATAATATTACCGATTTAAAAATGACAGACAAACAAAAAAGATAGAATATATTACATTCTGTCACTTTTTTAAGTACAATAATGATATTTTAGTACACATTTTTCTTTAAATTCTAAATATCAGGAAAACTATTAAACTTAGACATATGACATACTTATCATTGATTAAAGAGAACTGGATGAGCAATTCATCTAGCACACAATATACAGGGTGTTCCATTTAAAAAACTTAAGAAAAAGCCATTTGAAAAACATCAAAAGTAACTAAGCTTTATAAACACCCTGTATAGTGTATCTAATATCTTTGAATATTATCATCTACCTACTAACTTTGACTATTGTCTGACGTAGTGTCAAGGCAAAATCAGAAAAAAATGTCGTTTTTACATCGTTTTCAAAAAGATCCTGTAACAGGTACATTTTGAAAGAACAATTGAATATCTCAGGAACTATAAACGCTGTGGAATAGTAACATATATGATTGTATAAACAAATTTAGTTGTATTCATAATATCATAAAACATACAGGGTGTTCCATTTAAATAAATTGATGTACTCTCCGTTACGCTTAAATGGAACACCCTGTATGTTTTATCATATGAGTACAATTAACCCTTTGTGTCCCGAAGGTACTTTAAAGTGCCGGTAGTTTTAAACACTCATTTTAAACTGTAGTCATCTATTCGGCGCATTTAGAGCTGTCGGTACTTTCTACTATACAAGAAAGAATCTGTATAAAAA